CACAGTGGGTCGCAGGGTACAGTCTTAGGCACCCCCTCTGGTCTCTCACTCCGTGGTCTTTTTACATCTCTGCAACCTCCTGAGGCAAGGCTCTGGGCTCTTTCGACCGCCCCCTTGGCCACCCCCCAACTTCCTCAGTGCTCAGAGGATAATCAACGAATACTGAGCACGACCCCGTAATCCCCCAAGGGATTGTTTCAAACTTTCAACTGGCACAGTGACTGGGAACACTGAGCCCCACACAGGGACAGTGAAAGCTAGAGCAAGACACAAACGGACTGATCATCAGTGTAAAAATCCATTGGGGTTTTCACTCTAAAAGAAAAGCTTGCAACAGCACACGGATGGTAGATAAGCATGGGCGGGGGGAGATAGGGAGGCCCCTGAGTGGGGGGGTGGGGTCCTGCTCTGGTACCTGGCACAGAGTTGAACTTGTTGAACAATTTCAAATTTGCCCATTTGCTGCTTGTCAAAAATTCTGCAGTTATAATAATATCAGGGATAAGGGTCTCTGAGTCTCTAAGCTACCATCAGGAACAATGACCTACTCCATACCCTTGGTAAGTGGCTGGGGAAACAACAGGGTGTGGGGAGAAGAGGATGGACTTTGGAGTGAGACCCCAGGGGGTGAAAATCTCATCTCCACAACAGGAGCTGCATTTCTAAGCCTCTGTGCCTCAATTTCCACCACACCAGGTTATTTTGAGGCTCTAATAAGATGGCTGAGGCACAGACTTCACACCACGAGTCAGTTCCGTTTGTTCCTTCCAGCACTCTGGGTATAAATGGAACACCTCTATTTCCAGACAAGGCTCCAGGCCGCTGACACCCTCCCCCACAAGAAGCAAACCATCGATGGAAGGCTAACAATGCTATAAATGACTATATATATAAAAATATAAATGTTATATATATAAATGATAACATTTTATATTCACACGCATAGCTTAAACACAAAACACGTATTTATGTCTCAGTCCTTTCTTGTGAATAAGCAAAGAAGAGAGGTTGTATTAAGAGAAAAAAAGCACAAATTATTTTCACATCTATAAAGTGAGGTTGGGGTACAGGAACGTGAAGTAACCTAAAAATTTCATGATTCCAAGATGCAGAGAACAAGGGAAATATAATAAAATGACAAAGATAATTATCAACCAGAAGATACAGAGTCAGGCAGATAAATGCCTCAAAATATTTTAATGGCATGACCATGCAACATTGCTGCCATTACCTATGTTATGGGTAACAACCCTTAAAGTTACATTAGCTTTGCAAATGCTTGGGCATAGGGACAGGGTGTCACCACTTACTTCATAGGAAAAGAAGTGGATTTGGGGGCTGTGTGTCACCCACTACTGCTGTGGATATACTGCAGATGGAGATGGTAGAATGCGAAAATACCACCATTCCTCATCTATCTGGAATCCATTTGTTTTTACCTTATTACAAATTTAATCCATAAATATGAATGATATAAATAGAAAACTTTGGAGCACAGACATGTCTCTAATAGGAATTGAACCGAGACTTGCATATCCAGCCTAAGGTTTATTACCCCTTCCTCTGCTTCCCAGAAATTGCCATTTGTTCATCTTCATCACGGCACTGCTTGTTGAAAATGACAATTGCCAGGGGCCCCACCCAAGTCTATTGACTTAGAAACTCTGGGCCAGGGGCCTGTAAGCCTACATTTTAATAAATTCCCCAGGTGGATTTATTCATATTAAATTGCTAGTCACTTAAATTATCACAGGATAGATCAGTTATAGTGGGAAGTATGGTCTTGCCATGATAAAATACACGTATTACAATGAGTCATAAGGATAAAGCTTCATGCATAGACGCATATTATATAGAAATGTACATACCTACACAAGGTTTTAACAGTAAACCAATCAACATTAACTGCTTATTACAGCATATAGATCCTGGACCAAATTATACATTACTCAATCTTCAAAATAATCGTATTTGAATTATAGATGGAAAAAGTTAGGCTTAGAGAGAGAAACTTTTTTGAAGTCACATGCCTGGAAAATGGCCCAGGGAGGTTGTGAAACTAGATTTATCTGACCCCAGTCTTCTCATTCCATTGTATTAAGCTCATATGCCCATGAAACACACATACACTCTCTCTGTCTCTCTCTCTCCCCTCCTCCCCAGCCCCCCACATCATACAATAGCCATTTGGTAAAAGGCAAAAGAATTATATTTCTTTTAGAAAACCTTCTGTATCAACACAAATGTAGTTTTTAAAGAAATACTCGATTAACCCATATGCCTTGGTCTGTCTGCTGACAACAGAATAAAAGCATATGACTGCTATCAGAACCACACTTAACAGCCTGAATTTTGGTAATCAAAAGTGTGTTTGGGGGTTTGTTAGGGCCCAGTTTAACAGCCACTTTTGAATTATGCAAGCTACAAATTTCTGCAAATGAAGCCACTAAATATTCATTCTGCAAGTCATATTACCTTACAAAGGAAAGCACCACCGAAGACATGACCCAGCACTTGTCAATTCAGTGGCCCTCCTGGGCCTCCTCTTCCCCATCTAGCATTTGACACTTGCGACTCCCCCAACTGGGTAACCACTTTCTGCTAGCTTCTGGAGTCAAGTTCGCTCACGGTACTTCCTTGCTTTCCTGCCAGACTCCTCTGCAGGCCCTCCCTAGGTCTTTCCTTTCTCATTAGACTCCATCTTCCATGCTTGCTTCCTTCCCTATATTCTCTCTCTGGAAAATCTCTTCTCCCACCTCTTGACTTTTCTTATATGGAAATGACTCCCAGATGAGCTCTGGCCTTCCTCTGTAGCACAAAGCCCCCATCTGCCTTGGAGAGGTCATATTTCAACACTTCAAATTCAGCACCTCTCAAATGTAGCCCCTCACCTCGTTCTAAGTTTCCTTCTTTGGAAATCTCGGTGTCAGTTTGAGCTGTTCCTTCTCTATTGAGCTGTCTTTACATCTGTTCCTTTTTCATTTCACTATCACCCATTTCAGGCCTTTCTCCCCCCTTTTCCTCGGTGGATTGTGGTGACCTTCAAACTGGTCTCCACCTCGCTTTTCCTCCTAAGCTTCCCATGAGCTACCCACGAGAGCATGCTCCTAATGCAGAGCCATGAACTCCCTGTTCAATGACTTCTACTGGTTCATACATTCACATTCCCTGGCTTGGCAGCTAAAACCATTACCATTTGGCACTGAATGTCCATCAATTTGCTTCCCACTGGATGCCTGTACAGACCAGTTCTAACTCATTTAGACTTACTACCTTTCCCTGATACGCTCCCTGCTTTCTTGTTCTGCTATTTCTCCTATCTCACATGCCTCCTCCCTATCTCTTTTATGGAAACTCCACATCCTTTAAAGACTTGCTTAAATGCTTTTTCTCAATAAAGAGTCTCTTGACTCCTCGAGGTAGCAGAGACATCTTCTTCCTCAGATTACCAAAATACCTTTTTTTTTGGCATTTGCCACATGTTATTCTGCACATTCTATTTCCTCACCTATGTAACAGAGTCTGAGGGGGGAAGGGACCAGATCTTTTTGCTGCTGGATCTTCCATTCTTTCTAGCAGAGTGACATAGTCATGTAGGTACTCAATATTTGCTGTATGACATTTATAGAACTCCAAGAGTTTACAAAGCACCTCCAATATCTCATTTTTTTGGAGCTTAAGTTTATTACAAATGGCATTCAAGACTTACAATCTGAATTTCTGTTACTGAATAAAATTATTGGAGCTACCTCTAACTTTGCACCCTGTAAATTAGGGTTAACCTCCAATACCCTTGGAGCTGATATTCCAGCATGTTAACAATGGAAAATCTCTAACAGTTGAACAAATAATTCTTGCTAAAAGTCTGAACATGACTAATATCATGATTGTAAAAACATAGTAATATGTTTGGTCTTGAATAAACCAAGTGCCTTCTGGGTACTCAATAAACATTTGTTGAATGAATAACTGAATTAATTCAGAGAAGGCCTTACTTTTGCCTATAAAATGAAAAGTATAAGTTTTAATAATGGACAGATGTATCTGCTAAATTTGAAAATAATGAAAAATGCATTGAGGGGCAAGAACCGTGGCATGCCAGCTACTCGGAGCTCTTCCTGTGGCAGACCCCACGCTGACTGCTGGAGGAGGAGGTATGAATGTCAGATGCTGCCCATCTGACTTCTTTGGATTTCCATCTGCAAACTTCTCAAGGGCAAGCACTTTGCCTTGAACTTTGTGGTCCTAGCATTGTGTTCTGCATACGGAATGTGCCCTACAAATGTAGTCTGAGATGCAAAGCCCTACGTGACCTGTCTGCATTTTTACATTTCAATCCTTCACATCTATTCTTCCTGACCTCACAGGGGTATTGTGGGTAGATTAAAATACAGCATCTAAAGTCCTTGTGCATACATGCAACAGTCTTTGGTAAATGGTAGTTGTTACGATCACTATCTGGGACTTTGTACATGCCTCAGAAGTACAGTCTAGTGTGCTGGGCTGTTGGTACTTGTCTACACAAACTACAAATGTCCTGGGGATAGGCTCTTTGTACTTGTACCCTCTGTTCCTAGCACAGTGCTCACCTCATAGCAGGCCCTGAAGCCAGCTGCATGACTGAGCAACCGAGTTCCAGTACTGTGGAACTACCCCAGCTCAGGGAGTCACCCTAAAGAGTCATTTAAAACTCTCTGGGTCTCAGTGATATCTGCAGGTCCTTCTGGCCTGGGGAAAATGGAGATCTCTAAAGCAAAGACTTACAGAAGCTCCCCAAGTCACTGGCAGAACTGGAATGAGAAACCAGTTGTCCTGAAGCCCTGTTCACTTAGTTACTCCTTCAAAACAGGAGTCTCACAGTTCACTTCAATGTCACTGTCACACATAATCCCCACACCTCATAGATCACTAGAGCAAACCATCTGCCCCTTGGGAATCAGCCCCTCAGAAAAACCATTTCCTATTTCATGTAGACTAAGGAGAGACACAAAGTCAGTTACCTCAGTCAGAACAGACCAGTCTTAACAGAGTTAGTTTCTCGTGTTTTGGAAGAAATCACTTGGAAATCCTTGGTTCTGAGTCTTCCATCTCTTCCACATCAAAATCTAAAAATAAAAGAGAAAAGAAATAATGCAGTGCCTCATGACTGGCTGACACGACTTAATATTTCAGCATCAATGGTAACTGTAATTAGCATGGGTACTGAATACCTACTATAATTCAAGTGCTGAGCAAAGTGACTGGACATATGTGACCTCATACAGTCTTCATAATACCCTCAGATGTAGAAGACATTCCCCATTTTACAGCTACACAGAAGGGGGCTCTGAGAGGTCATGGAATCTCTTCAAGGTCACACAGCTAGTTTATGTTAGATCTGGGACTTAAATCATGTAAGAATGAGGTTAATTTAGCAAAATGTGCATTTTCATGTATGATTGTTACAAAGCCTGAGATACACTGACACATAACTAATTTTATTACTTAACCAAAGAATATCAGATATCAGCCCCTTTTGAATTATTGAAATACCAGTCTCAAAACACCACTTACTATGTGCAATGTGCTCTGATATTTACTATTCTATTATTTTGTATATTGCATTATATATTCTCTATCTTTAAAAAAATTCCAGTAGTAACCCACTAAATGGATTTCAGAATCTTCTAAGGGGTCCCTACTCTTGTTGAAAGAATATTACACTTACAGATAGTATGTTACTAATTTGTCTGAAACAGCAGATTAAATCCTCCTATGCTTTCTAACCATGGCAACCTGACAGAGTGGCTGAGCTTCATAATTAGGAGAAAAGTCTTTAATCTTTAAATGTATAGGGCACAGTAACACATATCATCTATAATGGATCCTTAAAAGGGATATTCAAATAGGGCCAAAATCCAGAATGGAATTGGTCACCTACCTAAAGCAGATCAGAATTATAAAGTGGAACCGCTGATGGACTAAACTCTCAGGTGATTTATTATATACCCTGCAAAGAAGTGTCTTAGAGCCGGCTCTGTGTAGTAGGGGCAGAACAGACGCAACTACCTGCACAAGTAGGAGGCTGAGATTGAAAACCCTGGGGGCAGGGCCTTGCCTTTCCCATGTCCCATTCAATTCCAAGGGTTTGGTGCTGAACCAAGGAAATTATCAGGTTCCCGCAGGGTCTGGACTGGGGTCCAAGTCGCAGTCCAGGGAGGCTGGAGATGGGGTGGGGGTCTGTGACTGTCAGTGCAGTTTCGGAGCCTGCTGGACCTGAGCCCAGAACGTCCCCAGCACATGGGTGCGCATTTCTCCCCCGGCCACCCGCCCTCTAGCACAAATGCGCAGATAGGCCACTAGATGCGACGCAACCAGCCCCGACCTGCACTCGAACCCCCCACAACCCTCAGGGCGCAGGCCCCGGAGTCTGGGCACCTGCGGGCGCTGGGTCCCTGCACCAGCTCGTTTTGCAGCGGCTGCAGCGCTCACTGCCCAGCGCGAGGGTTTCCCAGCCAGGTTTCCAGGCTCCCTCCTGGGGAGAGGAGGGGTCAGGCTGGCCGCGCCCAGGGCCCCGCGCCCGCAGGCCGCGCCTCGCCCACCCAGCCCCGCACGCAGACCCTGCGGGTGGCACTTACAGGGCGCGACTGCTCCACCGCAAGCGCGTTTCTCTGGGGGTCCATGGCTCTTCCGGACCCGCGAGTCCGGTCGCTGCGCCACACAGCACCGCCCAGAAAATGGACGCCGGCGGCTCGGCTCTGGCGCCCTGGCCCGCCCCCGGCGCAGGCTGGGGGACGCGGCCCGGCCGGGAGGAGGTCGGTTCGACCCTCAGTCCACGGGCCGGGGCGCCAGGACACCGCAGCGCCGAGGATGAGGCCTCGGGAGGGCAGCGGGGCCCGGATGGGCACGCACGACGGCCGCGCGGGGCCCCTGACCCTACCTGGGTGCGATGGGGGGCGCGGTACCCACGACGGCCCCGCGAGGCCCCAGGCGCCACCAAGGGGGCAGCTGCCTCCGGCTTCGCCTTCTAGGGTGAGAACGCGATTCAGAACCTGCCAGAAGGACGACCCAGTGAGAGGTCTCACGGCCACACAGCCTAGTCACTACCAGAGCAATGCCTGGGTCCGCAGAAGGGTCTCTGGGTTCCGGATCCAGATCCCAGACAGCATCCAAACCCTGCACATCTCAGAGCGGCGGGAAACAGAAAGTCGAGCGCAGTTTTAATTTAAACAGATTCTCAGGCATAGGTGTCACCTGTGCTTTCCCATGGCTGTCAGAAGAGCCCTAGATTGATTTTCCCAAGGTGTTTTCACCAAAAGACCCAGTCCTTGTTCATAAAGGGCACTGACTGTCTGCTAGGATCTTTCTTCCAAGATTCAGGCACTGCTCATTGAAAAAATATTTACTGAGGCCTGCCACAAACTCCCCTTGTGGAGTTAACAGCTTAGTGCACTAGTATACAGGTTTTGTTTGTTTTTAAAAATACATCCGTGTTCTCCGTGTTTTGGTATTTTAAAATTTTCTTTAAAAAATGATTCAGTCCTAAGTTGCAACTTAAAAGGATAAAAAGTCTATTCTTTGCTTGACGTACATCCCATTTTAGCTTAGAATACAATTTAATTCTGCATTCTAGTTCCTGACCATGTTTTAGGAATGTGATCATTTTAATGAATAAAGTAGATTCCAATATTAAATACAAAGCCAGCAAGACATTTTAAATAAGCAAGGCAAAATATATTGACTTTTCTTTGCTTGACGTACATCCCATTTTAGCTTAGAATACAATTTAATTCTGCATTCTAGTTCCTGACCATGTTTTAGGAATGTGATCATTTTAATGAATAAAGTAGATTCCAATATTAAATACAAAGCCAGCAAGACATTTTAAATAAGCAAGGCAAAATATATTGACTTAAAGTCAAATTAAAGAATCATATAATTTAAAAATAAAGGCAGGGTTTTGAAGGCTGGAAGCTTGGGAACATGCATACACATGTACACTAGTAATTTCCCACTTCCTCAAAGCCAGGCACCCTTTATTCTCTCACTGTAGGCCACACGTTTAGAAACATCTATTCCACTAAATTGCATTTCTTAACTAATGATTCATCTTCCCCCTTAAAAAACAACGCTGCAATGTATTTGTTTATGTAAATGCCAATCAGATCTTCTACAAAACCTGAGCTAACCCGTTGTTACTTGTGGATTCCAACCTAAAGAAACTTGTGGTCTGAATGCAATGTTTCCACTGACGCTTTTGGGAACTCAGAAAAATCATTCGGAGACCTCCATGAAAACTGAAGTACACGAATTAGGAACCATGGATGGGAAGTGCCACTATAGGGCATTGTTCTCTCTGCTTCCCCTGGGATTATAAAGTGGGAAGGGGTAGAGCAAGGCATTTTGGTCTGTGGATTCTGCCTGCCTGGGTTTAAAGCCCAGCTTTGTCACTAACGAGGGCACTCACTGTGTAACTTTGGGCAAGTTACTGAATCTCGCTGAGCCTCAACTTTCTCATATATAAAATGGGGCTAATTATAATGGAGGCCTACCTCATTGGTTTTTTTGATAGTTAAATGGGATAATACATGTGAAGCATCTACAACAGTGCCTGGCACACAGTATGTGCTCTGGGAGTGTCAGATGTTGTGGCTGTTAGTGCTGGAAGTCAAGTATTCAGAGTTTAAAGTTCCTTCCATTCAGGTGGTAAGAATAAGAGCCACTGTGTATAAAGCAACCTTTATACCCTAGAAATTTTCCATGGATAAGCTGCCAGGGTCACATGGTAAGTGACATAGAAGATTTAAACACAGGTCTGACTCCACAGTCCATTTCTTGGGGCTGCTAACATGTTCCAGGTGGTACCTTGATCAGATGCTGTCAACAGCTTGTTAAGGTGAAATCGACTCTGGCTTTCCTAAGAAGCTTACCAAGTGAATGGCTCCTTACGTCTGCTTGGGAATTCACAAACGGTGGCATTTCTTTCTCATTAGAGCCAAAAGTTTCTCCAGAATTGAGTAGATTTCCCCCAAATTGTTATTAATAACTAAAATATCATGGCAACAGTTCTAAGCACCACAGCCTAAAACTTACATAATCAGCTCATCCTTCAAAATTTTCCACCCTTCCTCAAAACCAGTCGCTGATTCTCTCTCTTAATCATTCTTCTGAGTATGGGGAACTATCTGGAAATTTCCAGGAACATCCTAACTTGTCATAATTTTATTTTCTGTAAGGGTTTATTCTTTTCGAAACAACTAAATGTGATTTATTTTTCTCTATCTTCATAATACTTTTCATTTCAACACATTTACAAATCAGGAAAAAAAATTCTAAGACTTCCAAGATTCTCTCCTTTCTTACATTTCTACCAGTTCTCCAACATCTCCACAGCATCTCCTTTTCTAGGAGACTTTCCTCACATTTTCCACCTCATTCCCTTTAATCCCCACGTGATCTCTGTTATGCCCCAGCCACCTGCCTGCCCTAAATTAGGACTGTTGGCCAGTTCCATCCACATTGATTGCCCCCTTCTCTTTCATTTTTAAGGTTTCACTATCGCCATAATATATAAAAAGACATAATGTGTTGTCACTTTAAACACACTTGTTTTTTTTGTTTCCTGCATGGTTTAGGAGTCTGTAACTCGGTCTGCCTCCAATATTTGTGGCACTCTTGATTTGTTGTTTTACTTCTCTGTTTCCCTCATCCTAGGCACTCACCAAATTCTACCACTTAGCTTCCCCTTATTTGGTTGCTTATCTTTTCCCCTTCAGACATTTTAAGAAAGTCCCTGTCCAAATCATTTTCTCTAATCTCCACCACATTCCTGAAAGGCCTCCTGTGATACTGTCGAGAAGGCTACGAAAGCCAGTGAAGGGACAGTGTTGAGAACAGGGGGTGTCAACTTCCAGTGCGCCTGGGAGCCAGGCGGGAAGCAATGGGAACTGGAGCCTAGAGGAGGATTCCTGTCCCACCTAAACGGGGAGTGGGTGTGGTCACTGCCCAGCCCCAGACCAACTGTTGCCAAGTGGGAATGCCAGCCAGATCTACAGAATTTCCCAATGAAGCCCAAATCAGGATTTTTATATAAAAATCGCTGAAATGTAGACTACATTAAAAAAAA